CCAAAACACACAGCCAAAGCAACAAAGGAGTGGCTCAAGAAGAAGCACATTAAGATTCTTGAGTGGCCTAGCCAATCTCCAGACCTTAATCCCACAGAAAATCTGTGGAGGGAGATGAAGGTTCGAGTTGCCAAACGTCAGCCTCGAAACCTTAATGACTTGGAAAGGATCTGCAAAGAGGAGTGGGACCAAATCCCTCCTAAGTAGTGATGTCGCGAACCCGAAATTTTCGGTTCGCGAACGCGAACTTCCGCAAATGTTCGCGAACCGGCGAACCGCCCGAAACGCCATTGACTTCAATGGGGAGGCGAATTTTAAAACACACAGGGACTCTTTCTGGCCACAATAGGGATGGAAAAGTTGTTTCAAGGGGACTAACACCTGGACTGTGGCATGCCGGAGGGGGATCCATGGCAAAACTCCCATGGAAAATTACACAGTTGATGCAGAGTCTGGTTTTAATCCATAAAGGGCAGAAATCACCTAACATTCCTAAATCACAATGAATATGGATTGACACCTGACATATGACATATTGACACCTTGACATATGGATTGACACCTGTCCTCAGAGCCCCTGATGCACACGGACACAGAGCAGAATAGGGACTGGTCCCCCTACATAGGGTCACTTGGCAGATATGGATTGACACCTGTCCTAAGGATCCCTGATACACACTGACACAGAGCAGAATAGGGACTGTTCCTCCTACATAGGGTCACTTGGCAGATATGGATTGACACCTGTCCTCAGAGCCCCTGATACACACTGACACAGATCAGAATAGGGAATGTTACCCCAACATAGGGTCACTTGGCAGATATGGATTGACACCTGTCCTAAGGATCCCTGATACACACTGATACACACCTACTTGGATGGTATAGACATTTTTAGCAGCTCCTGGCCCGAACACCTGACCCACATAGGAGCCGTAATAGACCGGATTAGGGAGTCCGGACTGACCCTAAAGCCCAGTAAGTGCCATATAGGAACGTGTAAAAACCTCCCCAAGATAGTAGTATGGGCCCCAGAATGTGAACAGGCCTTCCAACAGCTCAAGACGGCGCTCATTAAATCACCTGTACTTTCTTCTCCTGATCCAACTAAACACTTTCTCGTCCATACAGACGCTTCTATGCTTGGATTGGGAGCAGTACTGAGCCAAGCCGGAGCAGATGGTGGCGAGCAACCCGGGGCTTATCTAAGCCGTAAACTTTTGCACAGTGAAGTATATTCACTGCCATTGAAAAGGAGTGCATAGCGGTGGTGTGGGCCCTCAAAAAGCTGCAACCTACTTGTATGGACAACCGTTTACCTTACTCACAGATCACAACAAATTTGGGGCACTGCGCGTGCAATCTAATGTGCCACCAGATAGGAGTGGTGTGTTTAGTACTATTGTTATCAGTTTAATCACTGTTACGCCCCCTATCCGTTGATGTGGAGCAAGACGCAGCAGCAAAAGAGGACTAAGCCGAGGAGGTTATGGAAGAGGATGGAGTAGAAGGAGTAGAGGAGGTGGCAGCGTACTGGCAGAGTACACGCTGTAGGGCTGACACACCTGCTTGAAGATAACCAACTGCTATTCAATCTATAACAGTGAAAAAAATTTTTTGTTTTTAAATCCAAGCTATTGTGACACCAGTGAGTGAGTGGTGTGTTTAGTACTATTGTTATCAGTTTAATCACTGTTACGCCCCCTATCCGTTGATGTGGAGCAATACACAGCAGCAGCAGAACAGGACTCAGTCGAGGAGGGTATGGAAGATGAGCGTGAACTGCTCAAGGCGGGAGGCGGAGTGGCGGATGGTTGAGAGGGGACAAGGAGGACAGCAGTGGTTGACGTGGCTGAAGATGCTGGACCAGGAGGAGGCTGGCGGCTTAGAGTAGGCGAGCTGCTTGTACTCATGTGTTGATCCCATAGGCGCCTGTGATGTGAGATCATGTGCCTACGCAAAGCAGTTGTACCTAGGTGGGTGGTGGACTTCCCACGACTCAGTTTCTTTTGGCACAGGTTGCAAATGGCATCGCTGTTGTCAGAGGCAGACACACAAAAAAAATTCCACACTGCTGAGCTCTGCAATGACGGCATTCTGGTGGTGGACACAGCATGCGTTGATTCAAGGCGTTGCTGTCGGGGCTGACCCGAAGATTAATGGAGTGCATGCTGCTGTACGACTGTGCCCACTGGCTCCTTGCGGCGGCCTCCCCTGCTTGCAACTACTCCTCCCCTCCTCCCTGTCTCCCCATCTGAACTTTTAAGCCCTATTCTTCTTCTTGACGAGCGGGCACCCACGTGACATCCATGGATGCATCGTCATCATCAACCGCTTCACTTGTATCTGACAACTCAGCAAAGGAAGCAGCAGCGGGTACAACATCATCATCATCATCACACCGTACGTCCATGTGTAATGCTGCCTGCCTGAGACATATCCCTGTTATCTACATCCTCTGGCAATAATGGTTGCGCATCACTCATTTCTTCAAACGGATGTGTGAATAACTCCTCTGACATACCAACTGAAGCGGCTGTGGTGCTAGTTTTGGTGGTGGCGGCAGGCGGGTGAGTGGTATCTTGAGAGGTGCCTGAAGCTAAGCTGGAGGAGGATGGTGCGTCAAGGTTCTGAGCGGAGGCTGTAGAAGATTAGGTGTCCTGTGTTAGCCAGTCAACTATGTCCTCAGAACTTTTCAAGTTCAGGGTACGTGGCCTCTGAAAACTGGGCATTATTCTAGGGCCAAAAGGAATCACAGCACCACGACCACGATGGCCCCTGCGGGGTGGCCTGCCTCTGCCTGTCATTTTTGTTGGGATTAGTGGTACTATGCGTGCAAGCTACTGTGAGACCAGATATGAGTGGCAATGTGCACTGGCACAGTTGTACAGAGCACAGGCTGTAGGCCTGACACCCGCTTGAAGATAACTAACTGCTATTCAATCTATAACAGTGAAAAAAGTTTTTTTTTTTTAAATTCAAGCTATTATGACACCAGATATAAGTGGTGGCACTGGTCACCGTATCCACTGTTAGCGTAACACACCCGCTTTAAGGACACTGACTGCTATTCAATCTATAACAGTGAAAAAAGTGTTTTTGTTTTAAATCCAAGCTATTGTGACACCAGATCTAAGTGGTGGCACTGGTCACCGTATCCACTGTTAGCGTAACACACCCGCTTTAAGGACACTGACTGCTATTCAATCTATAACAGTGAAAAAAGTTTTTTGTTTTTAAATTCAAGCTTTGTGTCACAGATATAAGTGGTGGCACTGGTCACCGTATCCACTGTTAGTGTAAAACACCGCTTTAAGGACACTGACTGCTATTCAATCTATAACAGTGAAAAAAGTGTTTTTGTTTTTAAGTAAAAGCTTTGTGTCGCAGATCTAAGTGGTGGCAATGGTCACCCGTATCCACTGTTAGTAAAACACCGGCTTTACAGGGGCACTGACTGCTATTCAATCTATAACAGTGAAAAAGTTTTTTGTTTTTAAATCCAAGCTATTGTGACACCAGATGTAAGTGGTGGCACTGACTGGGGAAATGGGCACAGTATGCACTGTGAGCCTGACACAGAAGCTGGCAGCAGTGGCAGACAACTGACTGCTATTCAATCTATAACAGTGAAAAAAGTTTTTTGTTTTAAATCCAAGCTATTGTGACACCAGATATAAGTGGTGGCACTGACTGGGGAAATGGGCACAGTATGCACTGTAAGCCTGACACAGAAGCTGGCAGCAGTGGCAGACAACTAAGTGCAATTACATTACATAGAAATTTTTTTTTTTTTAAAAGCATACCCTTATCCCTAACCTAGCTATGCTTTTCCCTATCTTATGAACAGCAGCTACACTTTCCCTCCTCTTACTAAGCATGCAGCTTGAGAATGAATCTAAAATGGATGCCTTCCAGGAGGTGGGAGGGTCTGCTAGGAGGGTGTGCTGCTAATTGGCTGGAATGTGTCTGCTGACTGTGAGGTACAGGGTCAAAGTTTACTCAATGATGACGAATAGGGGGCGGGTCGAACCGCGCATATGTTCGCCCGCCGTGGCGAACGCGAACATGCTATGTTCGCCGGGAACCGTTCGCCGGCGAACCGTTCGGTACATCACTACTCACTATACATGTTTTGCTGTTTGTACATACACTGTTTGATTCACTTATTTTTTTTAAACATTTATTTATTTTAGACTTTTCCTAATAAAGTAACTTTAATACATTATTTTGTTCAGCATTTCCTACTATTAATTGGTTTTTTTGGGGGGTTTTTTGTGCACAAAGATTGACAAACAGCCTTGGTACGCCACAACAGCGGTGTCAAGGTATATATATCTTCAGTATGCAGTACATATTGCGGCATTTGCTAGTCAGGCACATTTTAGATTTTTGTAGAAGCTAACATTCAGTTGGTACGTTATGGCATTTATGAAATATATACAACTGCTGCGCTTTACAGTACTAGATAAGTACTAGATTGTTTGCAGTCTGACTTTTTGCTCAGAGACAAGTGTGCATTCCAAAGATTAATAAAATAGATGACAATAGTGTGACAGATGGGTATTAAAGACAACATGTGTAAATTAACAGATTAACATCATTAAGCAAGCATGGTTAACATTATATTGTGTAATGCAAGCTGGTTGTGTGAATGCATGCTCAGTGACTGTATGATAAGGTTTGAACGATATGCTAAACCAAGTAGTTCAGTGTGTAAGCATGTTGGGACTAAACAGTATTCTATTGTGTCAGTGTGAGTAATGCTGGTGCCCCCATGGCGAGATAATAAAACAAAAGACAAACAAGACATAGCACATCAAGCCTGCATGTCACCAGTGACTAATTATTTAAAGGGCAGTTTGATTATTGATATTATAGCATAGTCGCCCCTGCAGATGTTGTAGTAGTAATTGCAGTCGATTTGGACATAGAATGAGAGTCACAGGTAGCTAAGTAAGTACTCAACAGGTGTTGGAGACAAATGTAGTATACTTGCATTATGCTAGAGACAAAGTCCCGTTCTCCCTCCATCCGACGCCATGCATGGCTAAAGCAAGGTTCCCGGGTTGGTGGGCTTTTCGTCCGGCTGGAAGGATAACTGGGAGCCGTGAGTGTAGCCTCTCAAGCCCTGTAGAATCTGCCCAGATCAGCTCTCTGTGCTTGTGTGCCAGAACTGAGCTGCGATGTAGCTGCGAGAACTGCATGCTATGTTTACTTGCTGTATCTGGCGTGTCTCGCCGGACTTGCTTTGCGGTCATTCGTCGCGGTGGGTGGCGCAGTTGTACATAGCTTGACGATGCCGCCATCTTGTAAGGTAGGCCTTGGGGGGTCTCATGCCACCTATTCTCCATTTATCTTGAGATGTCCTCGATGGGGACTGGGATGACCCCCCCCCCACCCACGGGAAGGGGGGGAACAGGACCGGCATGCCTCTCAGAAAGCTGGTGTGTGGCAGTTGGGAAGGGAGGCAGGGCAGCGGCCGTCCACCCCGCTCACCTCCCGCATAGGCCGCGGCTCCTGAAGCCTCGTGCTGCCTGAAGCCTCGTGCCTCCTTCAGGGCACCCGAAACTCCCGATCTCGGGGTCCACCGTCCCTTCTACCAACGTGTGAGTGTCTTGTGGGCTCATGTCGAGTACCAGGACTACGAATTTTGGCTTAACAGGCCAGATTTCTCTGGAGCCTGTCCTGCATGCGACCGGTCAGCATGGAGGTCCGGCCCCCCCCCCCTACTATTAATTGTGCTCCTTCAAAAATGTTTTTGGGGGAGCACTTATAGTTACTACATTTCTATCATAGCTACATTTAAGTTTTTCAGCAATTTGAGCTACAGTTGCTCTTCTATGTGATAGGACCAGACAGGACCTTCGCTTCTCATGTAGATCAATGAGCCTTGGGCGCCCATGATCATGAAGCCAGTTCCATGGTTGTCATTCCTTGCGCCACTTTTGGTAGGTACTAACCATTGCATTCTGGGAACACCCCACAAGACTTGCTGTTTTAAAGATGCATCTACCTAGTTGTCTAGTTATTACTATTTGATCCTTGTCAAAATCACTCAGATATTTTCCCTTGTCCATTTTACCTGCTTCCAACACATGAAATTTAAGAACTGACTGTTTACTTACTTACTAATATATACCGCCCGAACTATCAGTGGTTTTAATGTTGTGGCTGCAAGTGAATATACTACTTGCAATTGAAATCTATTAAAGAAAAACAACCAACTGTCTTAGCTTGTCCAGTGTCTTATTAGCATACAAATATTCAAAGAGTTTGTAACACAATCCCCTTTGTAAGTTGGTTTAAAAAAAAAAAAAAAAAAAGACGGCTTTTACGCACAATTTTTTTTCTCTTCGCAGTATAATGAAACGTTTGAAAGTAACTTAGACTAGCTCGGCCATGAGAGAGCCCGCCCAGCCATCAGCCAGCCAGCCAGCCCTGCCGTGAGCCATTTTCTATCATTCGTGTTAGAGGAGTGATAGAGAGTGGAGCTGATAGTTAAGGCTCTGTTATTGTCAGATATAAAGCTCTGTTTGGTAGGGAAACAGAAAGCTCTGTTAGGTAGGGACATTGAAAGACTGTCAGGAGCACTGAAAGACTCTTTGAGGGGCATTGAAATTATCTGTCAGGAGCATTGAAATACTCTTTGAGGGGCATTGAAATTCTCTGTAAGGGATATTAAAAGGCTATGTAAGGGACATTAAAAGGCTCTGTCAGGGGCATTATTATTATGTTATTTATATAGCGCCATCAAATTCCCCAGCGCTTTACAATGGGTGGACGAACAGACATGTAGTAGTAACCAGACAGGTTGGACACACAGGAAAAGAAGGGTTGAGGGCCCTGCTCAATGAGCTTACATGCTAGAGGGAGTGGGGTAAAATGACACAAAAAGACTGTCAGGGGCATTAAAAGGCTCTGTAAGGAATGAAACTCTCGTTAATACTTATTGTCTTATATAAACAAAATTTATGCTGCATTTTGAACCTATCTAAGCAACGTACACTGTGCTGTCTATCTCCTTACCCCCCCAAAAAAATGTTAAAAAAAATGTGCAAGCTCTACTGTCTACCCCTATGTTTCAACTGTTCATAATGCGCTGGAAGAATGCCTTTGGGGTACCTCTTAAGCAATTGATATAATCGTCCGCACTACAAAAATAAAGAATTTACAAAAGGCTCTGTAAGGGACATTAAAGGCTCTGTCAAGGACACTGAAATTCTCTGCTAGGGACATTAAAAGGCTCTGCCAGGGGCAAAAAACTGTTAACGGTATTTTTCAAAGTGTTCAAATCTTTTTGCTCCACGTCCTGCTTAAGTTCAGTTCTTTCTAAGAGTGTTATCAAAATCAGCATCCTTTTCAGTCAGGTTGTGACATCTGTATTTTTCGAAGTGTTTTGTTTTGACTAATCAACAACCATGAATTTGGAAAGCTGGTTAAGGCAAGGAACTCTTCAGAGAAAAATAATTACTACTTCTACTTGTTCGGCACTTATTGAAACTGAGAAAAAAGATACAACTAAAAATCCAGAACATGCCCAAAATAGTTGTATCTACTGTTCTTCAAATAGCAGAGATAAGTAAAAAAACAAAAAAACAAAAAAACAAAAAAAAAAGCACACAATGCTAGCCAATCTTCTTCTCAAACAAAGAAAAGAAAATACAATGATAGCTACTTGTCATTTGGATTCACAAGTGCCAGAAATGAAGATTGTCCTGAAGCACAATGCGTACTTTGCAATAAAATATTGCCAGACAGTTCATTAGCACCTGTTAAATTACGTCGTCATTTTGAGCAAAACCACGCAAAAATACAAAGTACAAAGATAAAGACATTGACTTTAAAGCTAAAGGAGTTTTAGAAGAGTAAACAATTTATGAGCAAAATATTTCAAAATGCTAATGAAAAAGCCACAGAGGCTTCTTACAGAGTGAGTTACTGCATAGCGCTTGCAGGAGAAGCACACACAATTGGGGAATCACTAATAAAACCATGTGCCAAAGAAATAGTGTCATGTATTTTAAGTGATAAGTTGAGTAAAAAAATTTAAGCTGTGCCACTTTCCAACAACACAATTTTGCGCCGTATTCACGATCTTGCTGATGACATCCATTCTGAACTAATTTCTCGACTGCATCAATGTGATGGGTACTCACTGCAATTAGAAGAGTGCACAGATGTTGCAGGACTTTCAGTTTTGTTGGTTTTTGTTAGATATAATTTTGACAAACAGATTAAGGAAGACTTGCTTCTGTGTGAAACTTTGAAAACTCATACCACTGGTGAGAACATCTTTAACTGTATCCAGAAGTTCATGAACACACACAGTATAAATTGAGACAAATGTGTAGATATGATGGTGCCAAAGCAATGGTTGGGAAAGTGGCAGGCGCTGTGACACGAAGAAATGTAGCAAAAACACAGCATCAGTTCTCACTGTGTTCTTCACAGACATGCACTGGTAGCTAAAAATATTTAAATATCACTTAAAACTGTGCTAGACGAATTGACCATTACAGTCACGACTATTTAAAATAATATGTGAAGATATGGGGGGGCGTGGCCAAGGACGCATGGAAGCGGTCGCATAAACCGAGAGCTCCGCCGTCTCGAGGGCCCAGCAGCGAGGCAAACAGCATTTCCCCCACACAAAACTGGCCGGACTTGCCGACACGCACGCAGTGAAAACCATGTCGACCAAATCCCACAAAAAAATGAAACAGAAAACGATGGATTCCTTACTCCACGCACAGCACATGGCATGCCCGCGAGTCCAAGATGGCGAAGGGGAACCGAGATCACCCCCGCGCGAACCCGACGCTGATGACAGCCGGAGTAGTTCCTACAGTGCAACAATGCACCCAGCCACCGATGCCTCAGTAAGCAGCATGCTGCAAAACTTAAAAGCAGACCTGCGCTCAGACTTCCTAAAAATGGCGTCAGACATTAGGGCTGACATCCAGGCCCTAGGGGACAGAACGGCTCACCTGGAGGAGAAGACGGAAGGCCTAATAGACGCACATAACAACTTATCTGATGCACATACAGCTCTAGCAGACAAAGTCAGGTTTCTGGAAGGGAAGATAGCTGATAATGAAGATCGAGACCGGAGAAACAATATCAGACTCCGAGGCATACCTGAAAGCATAGGGCCACAAGACCTCGCTCAATATGCTCAAAAGCTGTTCAAAACCTTGATCCCAGCCCTAGAAGAATCGGATCTTCGTCTGGACAGGATACACAGGCTGCCTAAACCTCACCACCTACCTGCTACCATCCCTAGAGACGTGATAACAAAAATACATTACTTCACAGTCAAAGACCGGATAATGCAGGCGTCCAGGCTAGAACAAACCCTCCCAGGTGAATATGCAGATGTTAAGCTTTTCATTGATCTGTCGGCGGCCACCATGTACAAGAGGCGAACATTTGCACCCATTACAACGGCCTTGCGCAAAGCCAATATCTTATACAAATGGGGATTTCCAGCTAAATTATTAGTGAACAAAAACGGAGCGAACCGAATAATCCTCACCCCAGAAGATGGTCTGAAGGTCCTAGAAGAATGGAACATACCGATTCCAATAACTGACAAACGAAGAGAAGGCACCCCACCGCCACGTAAAATGGCGAGAGACTGGCAACAGGTTCCATGGAACACCACAGATTCGCAGACCCGCCGATTACCCCGTACCTAAGACTTTCCTCTGACAACAGCAGGACACGTAATATCTTCACCCACAATGGCTTTATTGTATTTCTGTGTAATATATGTTTACTATTGCATTGTTCTACTCCAATTAGACACAGTTATGAGAACACAATGATAGGCCCCCGAGCGGTAGAGAAGTACCACTAGAATTACAACTCTACTCATATACGCTTTAGTATTCACCACCACCCCCCACACGGCTTACAAGCTAGGCCAACATATACCCGTGTGCAATTTTGTGCACATATCCCCTAGGGCCAACGGGAACCTGTATATAGTTTGTTTGACCCCACTCCTCCCCCCTCTTTGCCGACACATTCGAATCTATACCTGGCAGCCAAGGTAATAGGCGACCAGAGTAAGAGATCCCTCCCACTGATTGACTCAACACCCCACCTACCCCCCAAACCGCAAGGTAGGCATAATGCCGTTAAAAATCCTCTCCCTCAATACCAAAGGGCTGAACTCACCCAACAAGCGCAGGCTAGCTTTACTAGAAGCTAAGAGGCAGAACGCACAAGTGGCTTTCTTCCAGGAAACCCACTTCAAATGGAGAGCTAAACCCAGATTCAACTCCCCCTGGTTTCCGATAGA